AGACTGATGCCATGGCTGACATCAGTGTCAGAGCGTAGGAAATCCATGAACAAGTGGAGTAGAGAAGGCGATGGTGAGAAGAAGGAACTATTTTATGGTAGAAATAAATTAATAAAATATTCAAAGGAGAGGGAAAAAAACTCCACAATTGTAATAGACATCATTGATTTCTATCCTAATCTGTCCCCCAAACACATTTAAAATGTGCTGGTTTGAAAAATCACTTAAAGCTCCTGGAAGCTTGGAAGCTTCAAGTTTTCCACACAAACGCCTCCGGGGGGCTGTCACCACGGGCGGAGTCTTCCTGTCTGGGTGGACCGAGCTTGATTTACAGACACAGCCAAGCCTTCCCAGCATTTAGAGGCTGGAGGGCAGTGGCATTCCACAGTCATGAGAGAATCAGTTCCTCAAAGAATCAGCTGCTCTAACGTGACCTCCGACTGGGAGTCTTTGATCAATGTAAAGAGGGAAAAGGTCCAGCTTCCGGTAGAGCCGCAAGGAAGGAAGGGGAGTCTTAGAGTTGCTGGTCAGATTAAATCAAAAGTTCAAGGCGGATACTGTGTGAGGCTGATAAATTCTGGGTCCCTTTCTGCGTCTAGAGAAGAAAAAAAAATTTAAGCATTTATTAATATTTGTCTCTTAATAGAGATATTTATGTAAATCCATGGATAATCTGCTTCCTCCTGAACAAAGGAAATTTCAAGTGAAGTGAGCTTGTTGAACTTATGCCACTATTCCAATAAAGACCCTCTCATTTGGGCGGCACTCTGAGGATCTCATACTCTGTGGGAGTAAAAGAAAACATTTCCATTCTTTTAGGTACAATCATACTTGACTGATGTTAAAAGACACTTGAAATCAAAGAGGTAAACCACTCTGAGCACAAACCAGATAAACTCTGGATTCAGCTATCATGCACAAAATTATGTACTTCAAGCTTCAAAAATTATGGACTTATTGTTAAATAAGCTTATCTGGTAACTACCAAAATCAGAGAAAAGAGACAATCTTTTGCTGTTATCATAAGTATTCAATACATGGGACACATTAACTATTATTAATGGGAAAAATCTCAATGCCATTCCTACAATTCCAAAGGAGTGGGGTTTTTTTTTGTTTGTTTGTTTCCCAAGGGCTCTGCTCTAATCATATGTCAGCATTTTAATTTTGAAAAAAAAAATGTTTGCCATATACTCAAATCCAAATAACCATAGTTATTCTTTTAACAAAAAAAGTGAATATAATAGAGTTTTTATTTTTTTCTATTAGATGCCAGGAAATATAACAAAAAGACATTTCTTTTATTGGTTTTTCTCTGATTATAGTGATAATTATATTGCCAATAAAGCTAATGAAGACTCACCAGTACTGGGCACAGTTATAGATGTCCCTCAACAAATGCATGTTGGCTGCTTTTGACTGTCCAATTTATCTGTGTAATTTGGGCCCTCTAGGGTACTTGATAAGCTACTCATTTATTTAAACCTTTATAATATTCCAGGCACTGTTCCAGGTGCTGAGAACAGAGTGGTTACCAAGAGAGAATACACAAAGAACAGAAATGGCTCTCCATCCTGGTTTCAAGAATAAGAAGAGTTCACAGCGAGTTGTTCTGAGACTGGGAATTCATTCAGGTACAATAACGACATCTCATTTGGTTGCTCCCTAAGAAAGAGGTGTCTGTTCCTCTCAGATTTGAACACTACTCCTACTTTTGATCAATCATTTTCTAGACGTCACAGACCTCCTCTTGTTCATAACTTCTGCATACTCATGACTTCTACATACTGACTTCCTGAGTACAGCTTCTGCTCTTCTTTGCAGTTGCACAGAAAATCCCCAGAGGATGTAATAAGCTCAATCAAGTTGGTTGAACTTCTCCTACTAGTTACAGTGCTCATTCTAGGACCCTCTTATAGATTGCTGGCAAGCTCACATTGGCTACTCTTGGGCCAGGCATCTCCTTTGATCCAGCTGTAACCACGGCTGCTGGATAAGATATTATCATCTTAGAATCACTCAGTTAAGTTTTCCCTCCAGCCTGAGAAATGAGAGACACTCTGCCAAAAGAATACTGTAATTTGAAGTTACCTCGGTTCACTTGAGGGTAATCTGTAAATATCCGGCATCTAGAAAGTGCTTATTCATAGTAAGTGCACAATATGAACAAAATTAGTTCATTAAACTACATCTGGAAGTATTAGACATATTTTCATCATAATGCTACACTTGACACTGTCTTGAGCCGAAATCAACTTTGTAGTTTTGAAATGTTCCAACCTACATAAATTTGAACTCAAATATTCTGATATACCATTACTTCTCTGCTGTTGAATACCCTGGACTAAATCTATTTCATTATCTCCCCTCTATAAAATTGGTGGTTTGATTCTAAATTTACTTCTGATATTATCTTCCATGCCTAGATGATTTTCTCCATAATGAAAATTGTTATGACCTTATTGGTTGCCCATGAAATAAAGCCTTTTCTAAGATTCTTTAACCTTGCATGCAATGTTTTGATCACCTCTATAAATTTTCCTGTTATGTAGCCATGGCATTGTAAAAATTAACTGGATGATAAGTATAATTTCAAACACAGGCAGACATTTTACTGTGCTTGCCTTATATGTGGCATAAATGTGAATGTTGAAAGAAGTGCACTGACATATTATTTTCCTTTCTTTTTTTGACATATTATTTTTCCGTTCCACCGAATGTTTGCTCTCACTCTAAACTGGGTAAATTCTCATTCACTTTACGGTCCTTCTTAAAAGTGTCATGTCGCCTCTGTTGCACTCTGCCTTACTCATTTCCATTAAACTATTGCCCTTTTCCAACCTCTGCTTGTTGACATTCTTAGTGAATATTCACAAAATCATTTGCCTCTCTAAACCACAACTTGAGCCTTCAGCGGCGTTACTTCCTTTATTCTTTGAATAAACTTTTTTAAAAGTATATTTTTATTGATTTCATTGGCTGCCTCCTGTATGCCCCACACTGGGGATCGAGCCCACAACCTGGGCATGTGGCCTGCCCAACTGGGAATCCAACTGTGACCTCCTGGTTCATAGGTTGATACTCAACCACTGAGCCACACCAGCCGGGCCTGAATAAGAACAGTTATCATGGACTCAAGGACTCAGAGAGCTGCCTATTTTTCTTTGGCACATATGAAAGTGTAATAATGCACTGAGAAATACACTAGCACACAGACTTACCATGTGTTAATATACACATTCTCAGCAGCTTGCATCATCCAAGAACATTCTGAAAGATATCAGTGAACTGGAGACGAACTAGACTAAAGCATAGATGAACATAAACTCTATACATCTTTATAGAGAGAAAAGGATCACAGTTGAGGAAGTATTTGAAGGCCTTTAAACTGTATATATGAAAACAGACATGGTTTGGTTGGCCTTCTTGCTTAGGGAGGAAGCATCAGAGGTCTGCCAACACTTTCTACAACATTCCAAAAAAACTTGGCAAAGTTCTGCTATTAACATGACATAGATCAAACTCTGTCACTGCTATTGATTACATCTGATGAGCACATATTTCTTGAAACCCTGAAACAAGACAAGTCCTTTGCTACTTAAAGGTAATCTAAAACCTCAAAGGGGAATAGTAGTAACCATGCCAATTTGTCATTTTCCTGTTTTCTGCACAGAACACAAAAAGTGATGGCAGAGAGGTTATTGTTCAAAACTTCAGATTCTTAATATTTTTCCAAACAGACTTGAGAAAATTGCTTTTGAACAGCAGAAACTTAAATAGGGCATTGCATTAAAAAGAGCACAGGCCTGCCGAAACCGGTTTGGCTCAGTGGATGGAGCGTCGGCCTGTGGACTGAGAGGTCCCGGGTTCGATTCCGGTCAGGGGCATGTACCTGGGTTGCGGGCACGTCCCCGGTGGTGGATGTGCAGGAGGCAGCTGATCGGTGTTTCTCTCTCATCGATGTTTCTAGCTCTCTATCTCTCTCCCTTCCTCTCTGTGAAAAATCAATAATATATATATAGATATATATAAAAAGAGCACAGGTTCTTGTTTTGTTAGGCGTGTTCCTGGGTAATGGCTTTTAAATGGAAATGGTGATAGAGGAGAGCACACAGCACACATATGCACACAGTACCTTCTTTTATAAAAAAGGTATGGTTGACGCTACTGGTTTTAATCCTCTCATTGTCTTGATGGGCAGATTTTCAGAATTTATTCACCAAGTTAGCTAGCACAAATGCCTCAGAAAGATTTTAAGTTTTGCCAGTGGCCACATTAGTATCAGGAGTTAACTCCTGACTCCTTTTTAGACTTCCACCTGTTTTCTCCTGTTTGGTGCCTGTGTTCCTATATGTTTCACTCTGACCTCTGAGGCTTCCCAGTGAATGTTGGATAGTCCTTTTATTTAGGTCTGCTCAGGGCTAAAAAATGGGTCCTTGATTTCAAAGTGTTATTCCAATAGTTGCTGCCTAACAGATTTTTACTGTTTTAAATATAGGTGCCCTTCTGATAGAATGAAATAGTATTCATACTTACCACCCCGAGAACTCATAGACGGACAATATTTTATGTACCCATTAGAAGTCCCAAATCATTAGCTAAATTGTAGTATCGGTGGTCATGATCTTGAACTCCTGCTGTTTAAGTTCTCTGAGGTCCTCTTTCTCTGAATGTATACTGGGGTCAAAATATTAGGTCTCACAGCTATTTTTACTGGAAAAGGTTGAGAAGAGACAAATGCTCTGTAGATATATAGTGATACCATCTGCATTTTTCACAGAATCTCAAGAAAAACTGTCAATCTTAAACATGGCTTGGTCTGTGTTAACATTGGTTATATTAATTTCTTTTCTAAGAGAATAGGCTATTGGACAGTTTGGGGCTACACAGGCCAGATCTTCTCAGCTTCCCAAGGATTCGCCCCTACTGTGAGACCCAAGGACTTTCTTGCACTTTGACAATAAAAAGCATGCACGATTCATTAAGAATATAGACAAGGCTTTATGTTATATTTATTTATTTTCCAGCTTATACAAACTGGATGTAGAAGCATAAACATAGTACATTTCTACCATCTTCAACAAAAATATAACCAATATGTACAATTATTGTATTAAAAATACAAAAGGGATACAGACTCCACCAATGTCTTTCTAAAAGACATACAGGTACAAGTAGTATCAAAAGTATGAGGAAATCACCAGTTAATTGTACATTCTGCACGTGACATCACAGAGCGAACTGAGATTAGCAGTCCTATGTTCTACGCTTACTTAATGCTTAGGTAACATTTGTGCAACTTGTGGTAGAGTTAGGTTTCTGTCTTTCTATATGCACATGAGGTCCATAGCCTATATAATAAAACTGGCAAAGAATGCATATTACATGTAAAATTACAAATGCTTAATTGACAATGTAATATATAAGCAAGTAGACAAATGCCATGAGACAAGAGAATTATTAAATAAAGCACTGACATTGTTTGATACAGTGAAAAAACACTGCATTTTGACTCTTTTTAAAATTTGAAGCTATTTACGTTTCTCTACTGATCAATATGATCAGCTGAATTTAATGGAAAAAAATCCAAGACCAGCAGTTCCTCACATTTGAGTACTACTCGGATTGGCAGCCTTCACTTTTCCGGAGTCTGTGCAAAAACAACACAAAAATAGAGTGGAAGGGTCATTTCAGTCATTATAGGGTTAATAGCAGCTGTGAGCAGGTGGTTGCTACACTTAGGCCTTCTCTATCCATCCTGTGTCCATTAAGCCACTTCCAGGTTAGTCTTCGGTGACTAACCCCCCTGGCGAAGGCTGGCATATCCCACCAGGTTTGGGATCTTTTGATCTTTGATCACGGTCAAGGCTTGTTTATTCCCTAATGCCAATTCAGTAAAGGGAGGCTGTCTTGAAAGAGCAGTACGAACAGCTGGCATTAGCTCCAACATCCCAAGCTGCTTTCACTGCAATGCTATCCAGTTATAAACGTTTCTCTTGAAAAACAAACAAAAAAATCCCTAAAACTAAATAAACAAAAATCAAAGAAACATAACTTAAAAAAGGGGGGGGGGAGGTTGCCATCCATGTCAATGGAGCAGGACACACCCTCAAACGACACTGTCCTGCACTCCATAAGGCTCAGACACAGGACGCAAGAGTCCTATTTCCCTCCCCTGGCCATGTGCAAACAGTATGACAGGAGACCCCCACCCACTGGGGAAGGAGTGGAGGGGTGTCTTGGTATCTGAGTGATTGGCTAACAGTTTATACGTCTCCAGGATAGGGCACTTCACGGGGGAGGCCTGAAGGACACGGGAAGACAGGGTCCCATGCCAGGTCTTCCCTTCTTCTTGCTGTGGCCACACCCTGTCTGGCATATTTGTTTTTTTTTCTTTCTTTTTTTAGAAACCCAGGCTGGCAACCCTACTTAAAGGTTCAAAATAATACTGTAATTATTAAATGGATATAACATTGACTCTCTGAACACAATCTTTAAACTCATTAAAAAAAAAAAAAAAGGAGGACATTGTAAACAAGTGGACAAGCACTGTCCTCAAAGGATTTCATTGTTTTTCTTTGTCTTCCTTGGGGGGTTAAAGGCCCCGAGAAGTTCGACAGCTAGCTTTTCTCATTCTCCCAACGAGACCAAGTGCTAGGACTGGATTGAAATCTAAAAGGAAGATTTAAAAACAACCTTTCCAGGCATTGAGAAGTGCAGCCGGGGTGCCTCATCTTGTGGTGATGATCTTGGAATGTGGAATGATACTGTGTGACGTGGCAGGCAGCAACAGTGGGGACTTGAAGATTGCTGCACTGTGCATTTCAAGCAACAAAGTCTGAAAAGTGCCAGGGCAATTTCTTCACAGTATTTCACATGCAAAGGGGAAGGAAGAAGGGGAGAAAGCCCCATGCTGCTTTTAAGGCAGGGAAGGAGGCAAACTGGTCCACCATCCTCAGAATGTGAGTTCCCGGGCCCTGATGCTGGGGCGTCTTCCTGTGCTCTCCTGGCAGTGGCTCACTCTGGATCCAGAAAAGCCTGTGCCTCAAACAGCAGATACTTGTTCATCTTCTGCAAACACAACCAGGAAAGAAAGAGAAAGTGATGAGCAAGTAAGTCCTTCTGGTGCTGAGCGGGTATGTTTGCTGATGTGCTACATAAAAATACCTTAGCTCTTCTTTTTAGTATACCTCACTTAAAATCCTTGCCTTTTCCTCTAGGTGATGACTATGAATAATAAACACTTTATAATAAAGTATATATTTAAGTATATATATATGCTTATTTAAATATATACACAGTATAGACAACGAGTCTATTTAATAATGAGTTCATTGACACAAGTTTTAAAACAGCATGTGGCTTTTTAGATAATACACACCTACATAAAAAAAGTCTAAGAGGATATATAACAAAATGGTAACAGTGGTTATCTGCAAGTGACAGGATTCTAAATAATTTTCATTGATCCTGTTTTGCTTTTTCCTGTGATTATTTGTATACCAAAACATGTTAAAATCAAAACTTAAAAAAAGAAAGGAGATCGGGTGCAAGATCTCCCTCCTCCTTCTCAATATAGCTTGAGGTAGGATTGTAGAAGGCAGGCAAGAGAGTTATAGAGAATTATATATCTCAGACTGTCATTTGGAACTCATTAAAAGTCCAAGTATAATCTTTCCACAGAACACTGAGAATTAGGAGAAAAACCCAGCCACGTACACACTTTATTCAATTGACCACTTCTGCAATCTTTGGTATTTCTTGAGCCCTTTAGAAAATACACACACAGACACACACACGCACGCACACACAGGAGTCAAAAGCTAAACCTTAGGTCTGGAACTCTTCACTATAAAATGCGCAGGATATGGCTGAAGACACAAGTGATCAGTGCTAAGAAAACACAAACGTCTTGGCAAGCTTACAGGCAACATAAGCGAACACGTCTAACATTATGGTTTTAAGAATGAGTATGTACCGTCCTCCTCCGCAGAAAACCCTTGAGACTGATAGGGGGCGAGGCGCGGGTCGCACTCATTGGGTTTATGCCACTGGGGCTTGTTCACCGGCCTGCCAGCCCCGGGATGCGCATGTGGCTGCTGGGCGGGCGAGGGCCCCGCTGCCTCGGAGGGGCGGGCGACCATCCGAGATCTCTGAAGCGCCACGTTGTAGTCTGGAGGTTTCCTGGTCGGATGGGAATGCCCGTCTGGGAAGTCAGTGATGGGGATCCCGATGTAGCCTGGAGGAGTGGGCGGGGGCTCTCGATACCTGCCCTCCTTGCGCGCTGCAGTGAAGACAAGACACCAGCCATGAAAAAGTGCTGTGGAAGAATATTTCATGCACCAATGCCCATAAAAACCGATAGAATAATTATTAAGAGCACACACAGTATAATGGCAAATGTGATTTTGTGTGATGTGAGGTAGATATAGAGGTGGGGGACATGGTAGGCAGGGGAATGGATGTTGACGAAACCAAATATTCACAATGGTTATCTCTGTGTGGCCAAATAACAGGTGAGAGAAGCTACTAGGCAGGTTCAGTACCTTTAACTTTAAATGAACTACTTCAACACTTATCTAAACTATAAAATAGTAATAAGATTACCACCTAACACTTGGGTTTACTGTAGAGATGAAGCAAAGAGAGAACATAAGAGGCACCCCGTACTATGCCTGCAACATGCTGCTGTGCCGTGCCCGGTCAGGTTCCTTCCTCTCTCCCTGCCCCAGGGACAAGGCAGGCAAACCCTCCCTGCTGGGCATTTTCCTCAGCAGGCAGAGGACCAATGCCCCATTACGTCAGGTCCTGGGCCCACTGTGAACCACTTGGCATTCAAATACTTTTCTAACTAGAGTCCCATCATGCTTACTGTACACTCATCCAGTTGGTCAGTACGGGCACTTAGCAGCATCTCTCAAAGCAAAACCCAGGGCGCTTGGCAGCTATGCCATCTACCTGTTAAACCAGGGCCACTGCTCTCGACAACTATCAGATCAGCTTCTTCAACTTAGAAAAGCTAGTGATCAATTAAAAAAAAAAAAAGTTATTTGCTTAAAAAAAAAATTGGAAAAGTGGTACCAAAAATGACGCAAATTTAAAAACTCTAAAACTATGTGTAAGGTATGTATTTCTCTTAAAACCCTGTTATTAATGTTCATAACCTAGAACAAGAAATCTGTAAAGGCCTGACCGGTTTGGCTCAGTGGATAGGGCGTCAGCCTGCAGACTGAAAGGTCCCAGGTTCGATTCCGGTCAAGGGCATGTACCTTGGTAGCGGGCAACATCCCCAGTAGGGGGTTTGCAGGAGGCAGCTGATCAATGTTTCTCTCTCATCGATGTTTCTAACTCTCTATCCCTCTCCCTTCCTCTCTGTAAAAAAATCAATAAAATATATTTTTTAAAAAAGAAATCTGTAAAGGCAAGTAAAATCAAAGTTTTATTTTCCATTTAAAAATTTTATTTTAATTTTTATTGACTTCAAAGAGGACAGAAAAGGGAGAGAGAGATGGACGCATCACTGACGAGAGAGAATCATTGATCGGCTGCCTCTTGCATGCCCCTCACTGGGGATCCAGCCAGCACCCTGGCCATCTGCCCTAACTGGGAATCCAACTGTGGCCCCCTACTTCATAAGTCAATGCTCAACCACTGAGCAAAACCAGCCAGGAAAAGTTTTATTTTCTTGAACTTTCTAGACTTAACTGTTAGGAACTAAAACATCATTTTTCTTTCCTTTGCATCAATAAGTCTGAGTATTAGCTTATTAAAAGAAAGTGCTTTAAAATCTGCAACCTAAGAATAGGTATTAATAGTTATCTCCTTATTCATCTGGAAAGCATATTAAGTTTGACATCTACCCATGACTATTTACATAATAAATAATTATAATTTCCCAACTAATAAAAAAGTCTGTAATGATTACACTGCAGAATTTCTCACTCTATATATTTTTTAAAATATGTTTTTATTGATTTCAGAGAGAGAGAAGGAGAGGGAGATAGAAACATCAATGACAGAGAAACATCAATCGACTGCCTCCTGCACACCCCCCTTCCTCAGCCGATGGAGCCCGCAACCCAGTCATGTGCCCTGACTAGGAATCTAACTGGCAACTTACTGGTGCATGGGTCCATGCACAACCACTAAGCAACAATGGCCGGGCTCTCATTCTATGATGTATTTTTACCCTTCAATTCTATAGACATTAAATATGCCACAGAAAATCCATCTGGATACAACTTCACAATAGAAATAGCAATAGCAAAACAGCAGCATCTTCCATGCACTTATCAATTACTATCTGGGAGCTGTTCTAAGTGCTTCTCAGAGAATTCCTTTAACCCTCACACCAACTGTATTAGTAGAAATCACTAAACTCATTTTACAGATGAGGAAACAGACATAGTCCAGTGCGTCGCTCAATGCCACAAAGCTAGAAAAGGAGCAAAATAGTGATTCCAACCCCAATCCGCCTGACTCGTAAGCTCTTCCTCATTACATTATCTCTTAGCACCCTCTCCTTGGTTCCCTAATGCACAGGGAGAATTTACTGAGCACAGAAACAATTTGTCTGCATAACAAAATCAATAGAAGATTTTTAAATATGCAAAGTGTAAAGTTCTAATTACAACTCAAGGGGATGGAATAGAATAATAAAATATTCAAAAGCTTCAATTAAATAAAAATTCTTCCTCTACAGAGAATGGTGATCCTTCCTGATAATTTTCAGATAAAAAGATCAATATGAGACCAGAATATAACCATATGACAATCTATAGAATCTGATGGCCAAGAAGGACTGAATGTACACTGTGCTAGAAAATATAGATAGATACCTGACCACAGGACCTACACTCTTAACCACTATTCATTTCAAGCCCTATTTAGCAATGAGGGAAAGAACCACAAACACGATTTTACTTTTGAAATAAATTAGATTAAAGCCACAATCCAGACAGGACGAGCTCCCCAATAAGCTTACCAATAAGTCCCTTTGCAGTAGTTGGTGTCACAGCTATGTGGGCAGGCATGGGGACGGGCTTGGTTTCCTCTGTGGTCACGGGTGGCATGCTGCTGCTCTCGGCTTCAATGGAGACATCTTTGCCACCCCTCCGCTTTATTGTGCCTGTGTCCCCTTCTGAGTCCTCTCCCCAGTAGCCCGTGGAAGAGGCCCAGCTTGCCCGGGATTGGGCTTGTTCAAGGCTCTCTCTGCTTTGATTTTGCCTGTTATACTTTGTGCTATGATCAGAAAACATCATTTGGTCCATATGGCTGCTTGAGGCCCAGACACCTGCAGGATCCCCTGAATAATCGAAGTGAGTGTGCCCGAATGGAAGTGTTTCCCAGCTTCGCTGGTGCTGGATGGTCTGGATATTATCATGGGAACCACTTGAGCACGAGGTCCAGCTCCCACGGCCACTGTCGGCTGCATCCAGTGAAGCGCGATCCCCCTGGTCTTGGGAAAGCTCCTCTGTGCTTGGGGAAGAAATTACTGTTGCTGTAGCATATAAGCCCCGACCCTCAGACATGGGTGCGTAGGACCTAAGTGGTCAAAAGACACGAAAAAGCAAAAGCAAGACTGTTAACTGATCATCTATGATAAGACCAAAATACCTTTTCCTAGGAAGGGGCTTTCTTCCATCCCAGGGAGAAGATGAAAGCACCACTCAATGGCTATGCACTAGAATGGGGCCATTTCTGCCATGCCCAATTTTCTCACCTTGCCATCACCATAAAATAAATATAGTGGGAAAGAACAAGTACTTGCTTATAATAAAGGGCCATATTCCTTAAAAGGCTCAATATAATCTGATTATTTCAAGAAGAAAGCTCATACCAAAGAACTGAGATGCATCGGAAAGTCACCCTCTGCCTTCAGCACAGAACCACTATGTTCCAATTAAGAATAAAGCTAACTCTGAAAAGCACAACAAAAATAGCATGGTACTTACTAATCCAGATACTGTGAAAATTAGTAACTGGGATGGGAGAAAAGTTCTTAGGCATTATGCAAAATAAATGGAAATACACATCTAGAGAAAGGACTCGTTTTTAAAAGATGAAAGACAGGATGTAAAAGAACACTAAAGAAAAGGCGTCTACCCTAAGCTGTATTGATCGGGCTCGATCATGGTCCTCCTCTCCATCCTGCCCACGCCTAGGTTTGTTTCCACGATGCTGACAGAATGCCTCTGGCGCCTCTCATCATGCAGCGAGACGGGCACCGAGTCAAAGGAGGAATTGCTGACAATACTGGATCGTGAAGAAATTTCACTGTGACCAGAATCTGAAAAATTATCCACAGTACCACTGGGAGCCAGAGTATAGCCTGCATGGGAAATACAACCACATTAATTAGACGCTGTAGGTTTATAACACAAAACCGAAGTCTTCCAAAGAGAAGCAAAAACCAAATGCAGGCCAAAGCTATCACCACCGGAGTGGGGGAAAATGCATTTTACTTGGAGAACAGGTGACTGAGACAAAGTAAATTGATACTCAAATGAAGCCCGACTTGCTTACTGAAAGTTGAGAGAGGAAAAAAGAAAATACTGCTATAGGAGCCAGGAAATACTGCAGAAATCATGGTGTTGGTCGACTATTCTTAGCTCCCTTTCATACAAATTCAACTATTGCTAGTCTATATAAAAAACCATGAAGAATAACCATAAGCAGATTTTAAAGTATATTTTTTGCAATCTGCAAAGTCAGTAATCTTGTTTCCAATTTTTAGAACTTTATGGCATAGAATAATTCAACAGGAAGTATTTATAATTTTAAATAAGAAAAAGCAATAAAACCTGAAAAAAATCTTCGGATTTCTGTCAGTTGGCTTTTTAAGATTAACAATATATTGGACAAATCGCATAAAAGCCAGTAGTTTTAGAAGATGTCATGTACAAATCTCCATTTTCTCCCTAGACCATCATCACTTTAAAATGTCTAAACAGATGTCTGTTTTTTGACCTGAGGAACCCTTAACTTCCCTTTGTTGCTAAAAATAATTTTGAAAGCCACCAAAAACATCTTGATATTTTTAATGAAAAACAAACAAACCCCAATCCTCTTTCTCAGTACTCATTTCTTTTGCAACATCACTAAGGATCTCATATTACTTAAAATATTGACTTTACATGATTATATGTATGCAATGCAATTTTTCAATGCCACTTACCTGATAAAAAAGTTAAATCTAGGACACCTCAATGTTGCTCATTTATTCTCTAAATAGTACTTCCCCATCCTTTGAGTAACTTGTTAATTCCTGATTTATTTTTTAAAGGTTGCACAGGTCTTGACAAGATTTAACGTGTTCATCTAGGAAATGTCTTTTTATAAACCACACTAAAGTTCTGACAGACAAGGTTTAAAACCTTCCCTAAACAGTCTGCTAAAAAAACAAACAAACCAAAAAAAACTCTAGAAAATAATCACTCAGATGAAGCGCTTGACATGTAGAGGAATGCTCCCATTCTCCTTACTGAGAGGATTCCTCTTTCCCACCCGGCTTTGGTTCTATAAACCCCACCTATCCCATAGGTCCATGGTGCATTGTTATTCTTGTTACTGTTCTCACTTCCAAGAGAAGAGGAGGAACTGGTTAAGTCCAACTGCCCGGAGCCAAAAGATCTCAGCTGATTGCCACTGCCACCTGACAACGGGATGAGAAAAGAATTCAGATAGATCCCTTTAACAAGAACAGTAGAGGCTGGTGCCCACACCAAAAGCACAGATGTCTGAAATATCTATCAAGTAAAGCAGAAGAGGTATTTGTCAATTCAGGGAAATCTCACAATTTATTAATCTTTTTGGTCTCCTTCTAGGGAAAACTCTCTTAACCATTTACTACTAGTTTATACCCATTCAATTAAAGGGTAGACAGTTGCTAAAAATAAAGCCTCTTTTGTAACCCAGAATTCATTGTTCAGTATGAGTTTTGATACATATGAGAAGAAAAAAAAAAAAAAAAAACAAGGGCAGAGAAAGTAACTTGGGGGGTTCTGTGGCACATCTATTACAATTACAGATAGTCCTCGGGTTACGGGTTACGTAGGACTCAACCTACGTTTCGTGGTTAAGTCACCATCTCCCAGTTACAGTATTTATTTAAAAAAAAGTTCCGTCATTTCGACGTATGTACATATGTGCTTTATGTTTTTTTATTATTTATTTACCACAAGTAAAGTTCAAGAATTATCATCTTTCTTTTAAAATTTTTTTACTGTTTCACTTCATTACTGCTGTGTATGTGCTCCATGTGAGTGACATAGGTGCTTATGTAGGTGGGTTCCGACTTACGGCGAAAATCGAGGTATGTCACGCCATAGGAACGGATCTCCAACGTAACCCGAGGACCTACTGTATTCTAATATAAGAAAAGCATCAACTTAAGAAGAGATTGACTGCCTAAAAACTAATCTTTTTAAAAATAAAAAGAGGTAGCAACAGAGAAGGTAATCAAGACCCGTGTTAATACAATGAAAAAATAAATCAGGAAGGTATTAGTTTTTCTTATGTTTTTACAGCTCTCTACTCTGTAAGTAGGAACGAATCTCCAACATAACCCGAGGACCTACTGTATTCTAATATAAGGAAAGCATCAACTTAAGAGATTAACTGCCTAAAAACTAATCTTTTAAAAAATAAAAAGAGGTAGCAACAAAGAAGGTAATCAAGACCCGTGTTAATACAATGAATAGATTGTTATAAAGGAAAATAGTAAGTAATTTAATCTACCTTTCCTTGGAGAACTTTGTGGAGAAGTAGGGGGAGAAGAAAGCTGTGAAGATGCATTTGATATCGTATCTTCTGCTTGTTTCTTGTGTCGTTCCAGACTTCCTTCTTCAGACAAAGAAAGGATTTTCTTTAAAGCTTGTGGAGAGTTTATGCCTTTAAGGGAAAAAAATAAATGAACAAATATGTATTTTCAAGACTGAAAAGAAATAACATTAATAACTAAAAAACGTTTTTTTGTGTTAAGATTTAATATTACATTTAGATTCAAGCTGTTTACAATTTCAATGGTCTTTGTACTCTTCACAGTATAGACAGTAAGCTTATAGAAGACATAGATATCCCTACGTTGGTTTCTGATTGACAACTGCCAGAGTCTAGAGATGGACTGTTTTGGGGTCTAGATCTTAATGTAATCACCATCTTTATTCAACAATATGTTAGACAAGAATAAATAAAAAGAATATTTAATACTAAAAAGTCAGGTGGAGTTGGAAGCAGGTATTTTGATGTTATTGGATATGTTAGAGCTCAGGTGAAGTGGAATGATGAGAGGAAAGAAAGTCAACAGTCAAGAGCTAAAAGGAAGCAATAAGAAAGCAAATAAAAGAGCTCTAAGGAATTCCATTCAGTTAATATTTGCTCAAATAAACAGATGAAAGAGAATGGAGAAGACAACCCAAGAAAGTAGGTAAAAGACCATGGAGGGAGGTTGACAGACAGTCAGAAGGGAATGATCTAGTGCCAAGTGTAAGCAAGTAAAATGAGGGTTGGGGGGGTGGGGGGAAAGGGTAATATATGCCAATATTAGGTGATTTAAAGAAAGGAAAGAATTTAGAAATAGAGTCACATTAAAATGTTTTACAAAGTAAATATTATGAGGCACTCTCAATTACCTTACTTTGAACAACAAAAAGATACTTGGGAAAGCATTATATATTGAAACTATCTCAGTAAACTGCTGGTTTTAATGTTCTTAACAGAATTCATTAAAAAGGAAGCAATGAAATTTAACAAAGATCTAATCCTTCATTTTAACTCATGTGTTTGATGTTTTAATACAATCTTTTCAAAAATCACTTTGAAAGCGAGATTTAAAAAAATATATATATTGTTGATTTCAGAAAGGAAGGGAGAGGGAGATAGGCATATAAATGATGAAAGAGACTCATTGATCAGTTGCCTCCTGCTCGCCCCACAGTGGGTATCAAGCCTGCAACCCGGGCATGTGCCCTGACCAGGAACTGAACCGTGACCTTTTAGTTCCTGGGTCGATACTCAACTGCTGAGCCATACAGGCTAGGTGCTATCTTTTTGAAAAAAAAAAAAAAATTTCTTTTATTAACATTGTTTTCTTTCATTCATATATTTATTCATAAAATAATTTGGCTGTACGGAGATGTTTTTGAGCTTGCCGAGTAGACACCATGAGCAAAGCTCACCTCCTGAGTGAAGAGCACAATTAAATGAGATACTCTGTAAAATCAGTACCTTCTACTGACACAAATAAAGTTTAACTTACTAAACATCCAGGCTTTATGACGAGATAATAATCAGGGGAAGACAAAGAGTATTAGACAAAGTTATCCAAGACAAGCATTTCCCCCTAATCTGAAATACATGACAGCAATAGCACCGCAAGGCGACGTGAGTTTATCACCTACCGAAGGGTGGGAGATCCTTGACCGGCACTTTCTTCCGGGAAGGATAAAGGGACACGGCGGGGACCTGCAGTCCTTGGTTGACTTTATGTGGTGGCTGCGGCTGCTGGGGCTGCGGCTGGGGCTGTGCTTGCTGAGTCTCTTCCTGCCCTCGGAGCCACTGGGGAGGTCTCAGTTTTGACAGGCTTCTTGTCACCAGGATTCTTAGGCACTGATAATTGTTTGGTTTGAAAATAGAATAAGAAATTTAAGAAGTTAACAGCTACATACAAGATAATTTTAGGACTGCCTGAGCATTTTCTGCAGGTAGAATACTAAAACGTGTCTTTTTTTCCCCCTGTTGCCTACACAAAGGACAGAAAGGGGGTAGGAGGAGAACCCTAGTTATAGAAAGTTAACAGGACAAAGGTATTTACCTTAAGAAACTAGCTATCTCAAAGGTGATTTATACTATTGAAGACCACATTAAAAATAAAAATAGAAAAATACGGGTAGCTTAACACATTATGTGTGTGCATATAAAATAACACAAGTCTCTCATAAAAACTACGACAGGGAAATTGTTAGAAATGATTTTTCTAAAATGGTGTCCAAAAGCCCTTGGCATATATGAGCTTAGTTTTTACTTAATAAATATATCTTTTTACTATCAAATTCTAAGGGGCAGAATTATGTCAACTAATAGCAGCCAATACTGCTTGAGTGCTATACTAAGTGTATAATTCCATAGCAGATAGAAAGCAAACCAATTCAATAGGGCAATTAAATGCTGTATGTATCGTATGTTAATATTAAAACCAACTCAATTACATATGCATACTTCCTGCAATTTACACATAAGGGAGCTAAGGACTAGGGAACTCAAGTTGCTTGGCTAAGGTGACCTTGCTGGGCTGAGGAATAGTCAGGACGAGAACTCAGACCAATCTGACCTCAGAGGACAAGCTCTTCCTTCATCATGACGCAGAGGTTCTACAACGTTCGGGGTAAATCTAAGAACTTGAGTTTTCTCAACATACATATAACATTTATATTCTACAGAAGGTGTTTTCAAACCTGCCCATACAAGACCCAGCCGTGTCCTAGATGGAAAATGCCTCTGTCTTACAGATTCAGATGCGAATAAAGAGAAAAGTGTCCCTGTTTCTAGCCTGGCCAGGCTTTTAACAGCTGGGACGCCTCATATTAGTCCGAGTCGTGCTACGCTGTGTAGCAGCATTAGCAGAAGTACTGCTTCCCGTGGTAGCTGAACTTAATGCCCGGTTCTGTCTGGGCTTAGGGGATAAGGAGCAGCCAGCATAGCGAGTTGGGCCCTGCTCGGACTTGGTGGGCCCCTCACCCCTCTCAGGTTGTCCTTCACTTTGGAGGTATTGTGAGAATATAAGGGATGCAAATGGGAGAGACATCACACACGTGGCCCCTGCCTGCATACTGGCTGTGTTGGGATGAAACCAAAACAACAGGCACCCTAAATAAGTCTCCGGTGTCATCCTCCCCACACTAACCCAGGTGGACATGAGGCCTAGCCTAGGGGAGTGCTGCATGGTATTCAAGAGGAGCATTCAAGGTGTCCAGGGTGCTACTTCCCCCAGTGCATTAAGCCCCACTCTGTCACCTGGACCATCGCACAGGAAACACACCTGCATCCCCCTAGATTCCACAGCCACTTGAAGGAAACACTCACATGTGTTGGTTGCTGGCTCACACTGCAGGGATAGCGTCTGAAGACTCTCCTCATCCATTTCTAGCTCCAAATTGGACAGGTACTGCTTCACTTTTCGAGCCATTTGGGCATCTTCGTAAAGCTTTTTGGCATTGAGAAAGGAACTACGACGTACCCGCTTTTTATGCCCACCTGTCTGAGCAACGTCTAGCACCGTTGCGTTTGCACTACCCTGGCTGAGGGACCTGGAAGATGAAAAGGTAGATATGCAGCTCACTCTAGCATGGGATTACTTTGAAACGTGGCAAGACTTAAAAAAATACTCTACGTTCAAAAGGTCACATGCTTTATTCTGGTAAGTAAGCTGTTACAAAGGAATACAGAATAGCAGAAATTACATTTTTTTAAAGTTAAAAAAGAACCCTGCACACATACATATATATGTTTGGTGCCTGTTCTGTTCAAACTAGGAAATTCTACTTTTCATTCAAGGCAGTCCTCTCATAGAAGCCAGCAAATAATATAATAATTATATAATTATATGTAAAAGCTCATGCAAGAACACAGCTATAATTGGGATTTACATTAATTTATTTCTCCAAAAGAGGATGTTTTACATAGATTTAAAAAAATTAGCTGTTTACAATTATTTTCTTATTCCTTGGGTTAAATATAGTGAGTTTCTAAAGTAATATGGTCAAATTGTTAATAAAATGGTCATGCAAATGTAAACATATGTACAGAAACTAGCACATGAATTGTTAAGAATTATTTTTCAAAAGAGTTGGTTTATAGAATGAAAACAGTAGTTAGTTGAGCTGTAAAAAATTTAGTTTTAACACCTAGGGGCAGCTTTTATATTACATATATTTACTTCTCAAATATCTGTGCAACAGAATTAAAATTGCACAATTTTTCCATCTCACATCCCCCTCCCCCACACTCCTCCCACTTTAGGCTTTTCCTATTTCAAAACACAGAAATTATATTAATATAAAATCTTTCTGAAAGCTTCCAAGAATGTCTGACCTACAGTGCCCGGAACAATCATCAATCATTTCACAGCTCTCATGGATCATGACCTCAAAAGCAAAAGCCCCAACAGATTAAACTGGAAATCAGTTTGCCAACTGAAATGCGGCGAGAGCAAGAGGGTTAAGAAAAAAATGCAAAGCATCAGGAAATAGAGCAGGTAAGAAAACAATGCAATGAGCAGAATAAGAACTGGGTGTGGGTATGCAAGTCGCCGCCACTTACCCCAGACTCCTCCATTTCTTCTTCCTGTAGGTGGGAGCCATGGAGGTTGAAGCATGGGTGTAGAAAGAGACAGAAAGATCACAAGCTCAGAAAGAGAGGACTAGACTTCCGAATAAGCAGTATAGGAAGCCCACAAACATGAAACTGCATAATCACCTCACACACACACCTTGACCAGAAATATTTATGTGGCTCAGAAGACACATGTATTTCAATTTTTTTTTGTTTTAAAAGGAGACTGACTCATGTTCTCCTCTCCTTCATGGGATCAGTCATTTTTGACTATGCAGACAGCTAAATCCATTGTGTGCATATTGAAACAATGTTGTTGGGTTATTTACATATTTTACTTCATACTACCAATTACGAGTTTTAGCTCTACAAATGACTGTTCCGAAAAATAAGGAACCAATCATTGTGCCTCATGTTAGATGCAAAATGTTTGAAGGACAAACTGTTTATACTGTTGATACAGAATAAGATATTTATTCCACATTAGAGCTCAGTGGAGATTCTTTGCATGACCTAATAGAATTTCTGCCAAGCTACAGATATAAATAATTCCAATTTCCCTCATTTATTAGCTAAACTCCACCTTCTCTAATCCCATATGTGCCCCTGAAGTTGACACACTCACCGAGTCCTGAACATGAGGGCAGGATCCATGTTAACCGAAGCCATTCGGCCAACATGACGAATTTCTTTCGCAATCATCCTTAGTTTCTCAAAATTGACCAGTCCATCGACTTTTGAGTCATTTCCTACAATTGGCAAAGAAGAAAAAGGGAATCACATGACATTTGTTCTCTTTTTAAAAAAATTACATTTCCTAAATTTTATTTTTGAATTATAGTTGATATGCAACATCATTTTATGTTCATTTCAGGTGTACAGCAGAGTGGTTAGACAATTATAGATTTAGAAAGTGATCCTCCCAAGAACTTCAGTGCCCACTCGGCACCATAGATATTTAGTACAATATTACTGACTGCATTCCCTAGGCTGTACTTTACATCCCCTTGACGACTTCGTAGCCACCAGTTTGTACGTCTTAATCCCTGACATTTATTCTCTGCTTCCACCAGTGAAGGAAGAAATCCTCTCCTTTGCATTTACCTTCATGAAGAAACGTGAGATCCTTCTTGATAACTGGGAACAGAGGGATTATGGGAGGTTGTAGGTTTTGACTATTGAGGACATTGCGATATTTTGCCATGTTTCTGGAAGGATCGAACAGGTCTTGGAGATCCTGAAATAGCTTTTCATATTTATTGGGAAGTTTTTCCCAGGTGGTTCGCAGTCTTGCTACTGGTGCCAGGTTTAGGCCACTAAGAGGGAAAAAGGAAAAGTGGTAGAAAATTAAATGACTCATCTTTATGAAATGAAGGAAGTGAAACAGTGCATTGTTGATTAGCATATAGCACCTCTGTGTGTATCCTAGTTACACATAACAATTTACAGAAAAATTCATAAGAAACTATTACTAACTCCAGGTGATGAGAATGGAAGATGGAAGCAGAATCAGCATCAGGGGGATTTTGTTTTACTTTTCTTCCCTTTGTACCCTCCTGATCCGTTTACTATGAGCAAAGCCACTGAAATGAAACTACCATGAGGATAGAATTTTATTTCCTTGTTTCCCTCTATACATAGAGCAGTGCTTGGCACATAACAGACTGGCCAAACATCTAACAGTAATAAAGTAAAACAAAAGCATTACTAGTAATGAGAATATGGTCAAACTCTTAGACCAGTGGTTCTCAACCTTCCTAATGCTGAGTCTCTTTAATACAGTTGCTCATGTTGTGGTGACCCCCAACCATAAAATTATTTTCGTTGCTACTTCATAACTATAATTTTGCTACTGTTATGAATCGTAATGTAAATATCTGATATGCAGGATGTATTTTCATTGTTACAAATTGAACGTAATTAAAGCATAGTGATTAATCACAAAAACAGTATGTAATTATATATGTGTTTTCCGATGGTCTTAGGTGACCCCTGTGAAAGGGTTGTTTGACCCCTAAAGGGGTGGCGACCCACAGGCTGAGAACCGCTGTTCTAGACAGAGAAAATGACTAATTTAATAATCACCATCAACATCAATATAAGCTGTTCAGCTTATAGGTTCCTCCAGCCTCAATCTAAGCAACCCAAAGGGAAAAATAATGGACATTTCCTGGGCATCTTCATTGTGCTGGCTGATGGAACCCCACATACATTACAGTAGTCAGCCCCTTACCCACTGCTTTGCTTTCCGCAGTTTCAGTTACCTGTGGCTAACTACAGTACAAAAATATTCAATGAAATAATACCAGAAATAAACGGTAAGTTTTAAATTGCACGCTGTTCTGAGCAGCATAATAAAATCTGATGAGTTCTGGCTCTGTCTCTTTGGAATGTGAATCATCCCTTTGTTCATCCTGCCATGCTGTATACGCCCCTTGCCCGTTAATCACTTAGTAACCCTCTGGGTTATCAGATTAATTGTTGCAGCATCGAAGGGCTTATGTTAGGTAACCCTTACTTCACTTATTAAGGTTCTCATAGCTATTCACATAACTTTTATTACAGTATCTATACATATAAAAGCCAAGAGACCAGAACGCCTGAACAACCAGAATGAATGACTGGAACAACCAGAATGAGTGAATATAGATTTTCTGCACTATGACGTGCATTGCAGCTGGCTAACTGATTGGGGGCGGGGCCTGCTGGCCAACCTTCCACAGTCCCTCCCCCGTGCTGGGCTTGGCCAATTGGCTCCCATTGGGGCACAAATTCGTGCACCAGGCCTCTAGTACTGTTCTATTTGTCCAATTTTATTATTAGTTATTGTTGCTAACCTCTTAGTTTGCTTAATTTATAAATTAAACTTTATCATCGATATGTATGTACAGGAAAAAAACATATGCAGAGTTTGGTACTAGCTATGGTTTCAGGCACCAACTGGGGGTCTTGGAACATATTCTCCATGGATAAGGGGGACTACTGTATATCATTTAATCAGCTCCATAACTCTTTAGCAAATTGTTATCTTACAGAGAAATAAACTGATGTTCAGGGAAGTTCAAGTAATTTTTCCAAGGTTACAGAGCTAAAAAAAAAAAAAAAAGTGAATATAGATTTTCTGTGCTCCAAATCAGCATATAGGAGATTTTTAAAATTAAAGATCAGGACCAGGATTCCGAGAAAAAGAATTGTTCAATAAAATTCAATTACGACGACTACACTTACACAAATTATATAGTGTTCCTGGATTGATATATATTTCTAACCTGAAAAGTGAATTGAATCTTAAGACAAACATGCTCTCTTACCTGATGATTGCAAACATTGAGTTAAAATTCTTGCATTCCCTACAGTGGAGTGCTATCTTGATGAAATGCTTAATGATCTTCATCCTCTTCAGCTGGTTTGTCTCTCTCAGAATTTCAGACGCTACCCAAAATGTTTCCTGGTTAATGACTTCTTCAAATTTCTTCAGGTTGGCACAGCTGGTTTTTGATTTCAGTTTAAATAAATCATCTATGTATTCAGTAGGTTCAATGTTGCGGAAGAGTTCAAAATTTCGCATGGAGAGCTGTGTGGCAACTTCCACAGTACTGAGCTGCAGGAGGGAAATTTGGCTCTCTCTCAACAACTCCTGAGCATCTTCATCTGAACAAAGGGTTTCTGTTTCCATGTTGTTTTTCAAGTAATATCTACAAAAAAACAAAAAATCAAAGCCTAAGCAACAGTCTCATGATAGTCCTCAAAAAAACATTGCTTTTTTTACAGAACATTTGAAAGAACACTGAATTGAATGATGGAAGAATTATTTGACTATAAGAATGTAGCTGCTGCCCTGGCCAAATGGCTCAGTTGGTTGGAACGTCATCTCGTACACAAAAGGTTGTGGGTTCGATTGCTGGTCAGCATACATACCTAAGTTGTGGTTCCAGCTTAGGCGCATATAGGAGGCAACCAATCGATGTTTCTTTCACATCAATGTTTCTTTCTCTCGCCCTCTCTCTGTCTCTCTTAAAATCAATAAAAACATATACTTGGTGAGGACGAAAAAAAGAATGTAGTTGCTGTCTCAGTCACCAGATCATAGAACCACCTATCCAGAAGTCATTGATGAAAATTAACAAATCACATGGAATTTCATGTGCACCAGTTGTAATTTCTTTTTCTCTTGTCCTTCCTTGATTTCTATATTATTTTTGCCCCCCTCCTTTTTTTTTGCTAAAAATGACAGAAAATAGCTAAACTAAAATTATCAGTTTAAATAAAGAAATAGGCTCTTAGGAGGAAGCAGGAAGATCAGACACAGGTCATGGTTCTACTTTCCCAGAGAGAATCTGTGGCTATTGATAGGTCCATATTGGATCAATCCCAGTTTAGTTACTCAAATACCAAAAAAATCTATAAGCTATTCTCCCCCTATTTGATTCAACGAGTAGAACAAAACTAAAACAAGATTTTAACTGTTAAATATCGGATTTTCCACAAAAACCCCTACCAGTAAGTGGGGCAGACATTACTCCTATTTTTCATATGAAAAAACAGAGGCTACCAAAGATCAATGACTAATTAACACATTGTATGCGGGAAACGTATTTATACGTTTTACTTAGACGTTTTACGTTGACTGGTAGTAGAGCGCGGGACACATATTAATACTTTTTTTTATAGACTAGCGGTAGAATGCGGGTAACGTATAAATACATAAACTAAAGTTATCATAATTTTACTGAACGTTGCCATTTGCGCAAAAAATTAGCATAAATGGCCTGCGCCACCTGTTAGCACGCGATAAAAACTACGCGCAAACAATGTGTTAATACTGGTTACAGAGATAGGAACTCGGAGATAGTGCTCCTTTTGCCTTAATAAGCAACTTATTGAAAATAGAATCCAGATGTTTGCCTTGTGATTTTTTTTTTTTAAACAGACACTTTCCCTAAGTCAAATTTCATAAGAAGAAACAGAACAGGTACAGAGGGAGTTCTGCCAAACTGGTCCTTTGCATATTTTGCCAAGGCAAACAGGCCGAGAACACAGACCCCGGGCCACCGACATGCTGATTTAACACACTCAGTTTGGGCTACTGATGAAGCCCATGACATCTCTCCATCTCTAATTTTCCTGAATAATGAATGTGAATCATGAATCTTCACCTCAATGGGGATTTGTAGAACTCCATCATGGTTAGAGACGTATCAATGTACACTGAAATAATAATGCGAAAAAACTGACCTCCAAATAAAAGAACACTACCTGCTAGTGGCAGCGTTGGCAATGAAGTAAAAGTGAAGAGGAGGAGAAGGATAAAGAGTTAAGAAGTGTTTTTCACAGTATAACATATAAATACACAGCATGAGCCAATTACATTGTCACAGATGTCTCTGCCTAAATAAACGAAGCTCCTACAAGAGGTAGATAGGCAGGAGCAAATGACAATAGAAAGTTATGAAAGCCTTTTTGTGAATGTACATTTCCAAGCACAAGTGAGATTTGTGACTCTACATCAGGCTTTCTTTACCATTCTGCCAGCCCAGGGCTGTAAAGAGCGAGCATGAGAAGTTACTGCTTGCACACCAGTGTGCAGTAACAACATGCAGGCCACAGTACCCTTGCTTTGAAACAAGTCCTTCTGAGATCTTTGTGAAGGTCAAACTTTACTGTGTGCATTTACTTTGATAAAGCAATTCCCGGTGAAGGGGTTTGAAAAACTTCTTAATCTGCAGGGATACTTAGTCTTTTTTTTTTTTTTAAAGAAAGATTTTTTTTTGAAAAAAAAAATGTTTTTATTGATTTCAGAGAGAGGAAAGGAGAGAGGGAGAGGGACAGAAACATCAATGATGAGAAAAATTCATTGACTGGCTGCCTCCTGCATGCCCCCCGACAGGAACTGAACTGTGACCTCCTGGTTCATAGATGGATGGTCAACCACTGACCCGGCTGGGAGGTACTTACTCATTTAAAAAACCCTTTGAAAGTGTACATCTCTTAGACTTTGATGTGGGTTTGAGAGGCAGGTAAGCAAATCCAAGAAGATAGATATTGAATACCTTCCACTCAGCTGTATTCTATCAGCAAGTTTGGAAAGCTGATCTGGAAGCCTTCTCTGTTTGATGACTCCCTCAGGGGTGACAGAGACCTCACACAGCGAATACTGATCAGGAGTGGCAGTCACAGCAAACTCCCTGATGGCCTGAATGACCACTTCCTTCGCCGTGGTGTCCTTACTGATCATGATGTATCGGCTTTGCTGATCAGCTTTGAAGACCCTTAACACTTGATCTGGCAAGTCTGGGGGAAAGAAAAGCCATATGTAAATATAAAGGATTTTAATATATGGAAATACAATTAAGAGAAGTAATCTGAAAATAAAATAAAAAAACCCCTCCTTATTAAAGAGAATGCTAAAATTTCCCCTCTCGCATATTATAGCTCTTCTTCAAACATGCAACCAGTCCACATGCTGACAATCTGCACGGGCGCATTTCCCCCATAGATAAACGCATCGTCTACAGACAAATGCAAACTCATCAGTTCAAAGCAAAAAGTAAAAAAAAAATAAATAAACCTAAAGTTCATCTGTATTATATACCGAAAAGCTCATTATTAAGCTGACCTAAAATAGGCCTTTTATTCTATTTACTTCATATGACCTAGCAATGCCTGCATGGTATGTATCACCTTCATTTTAGGAAAGAGAAAACAAGTTCAAAGAGATGAACTTGCCCATGGCCATATCACAGCAGTCTGAAGAATAAAGAAGAGCTGGTTCCAACTGTTCGAAGGTGCACCCTGACTAAGCATCTGATAAATCCAGGGCAAACCAAGAGAGATACGTACAGCGCTACCACCATTCCATTAGAAGGAAAGAGATGATTGCAATTAAACAAAAGCAGCGTGGGCAGTGCTCACCAGGAGTAGTACTGAAGTCTAAAATGCGATGGTGTGACTGCAGTAAGTCAGGGTTGCTGGATGACAAGGTGCCACTGACGGGCAATGCGGTTGGGATATGCTTCGTCTGCCTTAATCCCACGATGCTGTCGTCTTGAGACTGACCAATCCCAATATCACTGAACAAACAGGAAAAATAGGAAATAGCAGTCAACCAGGTAGAATGTTGAACTCATCAATATATAACAGACACAGACCATAAGTAAATCCCTTCTCATAGAACATGCAGTGAATGTGAAAATATTGATGAATTTGGTTGAGAGCTGCAAACGTACCTACTGCTTAAGACTGTATCCAACTCAATTTGTTTTGCTGTTTCTTAAGTGTAGAGTGTGTTTCTCTGAAAACCATGTCTTTTAATTAAGACAAATCATAACAAATAGTAGTTTCTCCAAATAGAAAAACTTTCAAGAAAAGATATGCTCTAGGTTCTGATGGAAACAGACTTTAATTTTTTTTGTTATTATTATTTTAAGTGTTTGTATTAGTTTGGGAGGGAGAGGGAGGGAGAGGATGAGGAGAGAGACAAACATCGATTGGTTGCCTCCCGCATGCACTCTGACCTGGGATCAAACCCACAACCCAGGCATGTGCCTTGACCGGGACAAGAACCTGTGCCGACCTTTCGGTGCCAGGGACGACGCTCAACCAACTGAGCCACACGGGGAACCACACAGGTCAGGGCAGAAACAGACTTTTAAAAAAGTACATTAAAAAACACACTTAGTTCTCACTCAGCTAACGGCTTCCGCATCAGAATGTAAATTGTTTTATAATCTGATCTTAAAGAACTGAAGAAACTGAGTGAAATGAATAGAGGGGGAAAATCCAAACTGTCCCAATTTCATTCTTCAGTGTTTCAGAGAAATGAGATCACTACGGAGTCAAATGTAAATGAACCCTGACACAGACATTATTTCTTAATTACACAGAGCGTAAGAAAGCAGCGGTGCAGAGTGACATTTCTTGGCATCAAGGAAGAGGCAATGAAATTCCAATGACTCACTTTTAATTCTCTACTAAAAATTTCTAGTTACACATTTAAGTTCCCAGAGAAATACTGCTTATTATGGGTAGCTACAACTTCACTTCCATTTATAAAAAACCTGTTACTGTGGACAACTCTAGAAACAAAGATTTGAAACATGATTTAATAATAAAGATTATTTCTAGATTTGAAAAGTCAACTGTTTTTAAAACATCAAAATACAACAATACGCACGCACACACAAAAAACAACTAGATCACAAGCAAATGGTTAGAGCTCTATCTAGTTTCTATAAATACCTTGAAAGAAGAAAACAGAAAATTATACTAAGGTTGGAATGTCATAAATAAAATTAAGGCATTTAGCATCAGTAAGGTTTTCAGACATTAGAGCTTGACCAACTACTTTTAATGGTTCTGCTAAAAAGATACCCAGTAGCATTCTCTCTCGCTCTCTCTCTCTCTCTCCCCTCCCACTTTCTTTCCCCCTCCCTCTCCCTTGGTAAAATAGACATTATAAAAGTAAATAAGCACGGACAAGAGCTTTCTGTTGTAAACAAAAATTAAAGGTAATTTTAGTGTAAGTTCTTTCAAATTTATAGGCAAATCCATGCCAAAATAAAATTTCTGTTTATTAAGCACATAGAGGCATGCATATAAAGACTAAACGTGTTAATTTTCTGTGAAACATCCAAACTTTTACACTGTTAGTCAAGTTTTAGTATTTAACCATATAAGCCAATTTTTACTGCCAAAAATATTAGCTGTAATCCATGAGCTGAGATAACTACTATGGGCTCAGGCCAAAGACATAGCTGACTGGGCCGCCCCTGGCACAAATGGCTGCAAATATTAGTATACTCCAGGCACACCCAGAAGAGCTGCCCTCTTAAGAAATGTTTCCTTCAACATTTTAACACCTAATATGATCTAACTCCCTCCTCTTGCCTGTATCTCTATTATCCACAGACGTGTGGATGCTCCAGGATCGAAACTACTTTATATTCGAGACAATTCAGAAACGTCTTTGCACACATCTTCTTACTGTTCAACCATTCAACTCTCTCATTGTTACTGAAATTGGTTTTTGGCCTTTGTTGATTTTAGACTAGTGACTTACTCCCTGTTTTCTCTGGGTTCATCAGTATCTCTACTTTCCTGACAAACAGTTCTGAATCCTACAATCCTCTTGCCTCACCCCTCTCTTTCCCCTCTATTTACATCACTCCCATGCCTAACCTTGGCAGTCTGCCATTATTCAGCATCTTAGTTTCCATAATATTTATAATGTTCGAGAGAGAGTGGGGAAAAAACAAAACAAAATGACAGAGCTAGAAGATTTCTCTAATTGACTAGTTTAGTGCCTTTATAAAAAACAAAAAAATCTTTGCAAACACTTGCTGATTTCTAGGAGAGGAAAGTTTAAGTGGTAACCAGTATTAAATCAAGTCTACCAGACCAATGGATAGATCCTACATTTTACTGAGTCTTTTTTTTTAAATATAATTATTTCTTTCTACTGCATTGCAATATAAATTACAGCAAATCATTTTTTACATAATAAAATACATAAGTGATTCATACTTTTTTAAAAAACTGCAAACCAAGATGCTTCCTCAGTGTGCTAAATTCAATACCTCTACTTATTGTCTTTCTGTCCCCTTCTCTAGCTTTTGAATATCTAAGTTCACAGAGAAAAAAATTATACATAGTATTTTCATACTGTGTACCTTGTTAACATCCTGTACTGTGAATGGATTGCATCCCAGTTCTTACATGTCACATTTCTATTAATACTTGCCAGAGTCACACTGACTTTTTATTTTTTTTAAGGTTCATATTTAACTCATGGTCAAATATTACTCTGAAGTCTTTTATTATTATTGTGCTGCCAATAACTCTACTAACAATGTGAGGGTTTGAATGTTTTACAGAACATTAATACTTTTAGTCTTTATATGCATGCCTCTCTGTGCTTAATCAAGAAGGGTCACCTTCAAAATGGACTTCTGTTTTCTGTAATGCAAACCTAATCCATGGCCACTTGGAAACTTACCCAATATAAATACACTCTCAAGTCTATATATAAAACCATCTTACTCACTGTTTATCCTTAAGACTCTATAACGAAAGTCTTTTGTAGCTGATGCAAAACATCAATCATAATTCAATGGGGACAATACAAGTTTGACACTCAACCCATCAAAAGTATATTCTGGACCATATCTCTTTAATCTGTGAGTGAAAATTTTAACTGAAATGGAATTTAAAAATAGAAATGCTTGATATAGTCCTAAATCTCTGTAACTACTGCGCCTTTCATTATAAAGGAAAAAAAAGAACATGTTTTTAAGTTATCTCTTATACCATTGTAGTTTGAGGAACCTATATATATAAAAGCCTAAGCGACCAAACAACTGAACGACCAAATGACTGGTCGACCAGTGGCGATGATGCACACTGACCACCTGGGGGAAGATGCTCAATGCAGGAGCTGCCCCCTGGTGGTCAGTGTGCTCCCACAGTGGGAGCACCACTCAGCTGACCGAAGGGCACCAGGCGCTGTGCTCACAGCTGGCAAGTGCAGCTGCAGCAGTGCAAGCCTCTCCTGCCTCCATGGCAGCACTACAGAGCGGCAGCAGGTGCAGTGGGGCCCGGTCCAGGTTCGGGCTCCTCCCCGGCTGCCTGCCACTTCAGGCACTACTACATCCCTCTGGGGATGTTGGACTGCCGGTTTTGGTCTGATCCCCACAAGCAAGAGGGTCCCAGATTGCAAGAAGGTACAGGCCAGGCTGAGGGACCCCACCAGTGCATGAATCTGTGCACTGGGCCTCTAGTATATACTAAATAAATTTGGTGCACCAATGTTATTTAACATTAAAAACTTTTTGACTGATAGTAACAGTTATATAAAACATCCTTAGACTGAGAAGAAGCCAAAATGAAGAAATAACCAAGCGAACAAGCAAAGCTTAAAAAAAAAAAGTGAAACCAACAACTTTGTCTAGTCTGAGCTCCTGGCATGAATAAACAGCCAAAAAGAGATTTGAGAAATTCGAGATACACCTGACATTCTGACTGTAGAGAACACTGGGAAGAAGAAAAGGATTCTGTGTTTGGTTGGTGATATATTGGCAATGGCTAAATAACTGCAAACAGAAAAGAAAGGAAAGAAGAGAATGGCAAGGATGAATAGTAGCAATGGGAAGAAGCAAAGATTTGGTTGGCAAAGAGCAGATGCTAATGGTAGAGAAGACACTCAGAAACAAAGAAATGGTAGCAAAAAACTCCCACTTCCCAATTATAGAGAATATGGGAACAAATACAACATATTTTTAAAGACTAAATGAGAAATAAAATAAAAAATAGCTCAAATGAGGAAGTGCTATAGCTCTCTCTAATGAAGATTGGGATGAGCAAGTAAATGGCAAAAACATTATTAAAATAAACTTGATTGTTCAGGATTTCTTCTAAGATAGCTCAGGCATAAAAGCTTAAAATCTTTTTTAGACTCCTGCAAATATTAATTACATCATTACCATTGCATATTATTATAACAAAAAATAATGAACACAAAATTTACACAGACACTTACTTATATGGTTTCTGTGGCAAGATACTGATCCGAGTCTTGTCGAGTATCTTCTTTAGCTTGTTCCTTCCTCCAACGGTATTGGCTTTACTTTTTTTATTTACCTTTTCAAGTCCTATCACCTGTTCCACATCTACAGCAAGATCTGGAATGGAGTAGCGACTGGCCTTTTTGATGTCTCCAATTTTAGGAAGATGAGGGGCACCATTTCTTTTCTCTTCTGACAATCTTGTCAGAAGTTCTTTAAATACTAAAATGGAAATGAACACCACAGAACACCCATTATAAGAAATTGGAGCAATTCAAAGGCAACTGTAGCACTTGGAAATAGATGAATAGTATAGACTTCAGCTATCAAAACTGTAATCTTACAGGAAAACTCTACTCCAATGAATGAATAACAACAGGAATCTGCTTTATAATGTTGCTCTATCATTCCTACTCAGGATAATAAGTTAAAATAAAGTAGCTTTTTAAAAAAATTTTAAAATTGATTTTTAGAGAGAGAGGAAGGGAGAGGGGAAGAGAGAGAAACATCTATGTGTGGAAGCAACATTGATTGCTTGCCTCCTGCATGCCCCCTATCAGGGAATCAAGCCTGAAAACCGGCATGTGCCTTGATTGGGAATTGAAACAGCAACCTTTTGGTATGTGGGATGATGCCCAACCAAGTGAATCACACCATCCAGGGCTAAAGTAGTATATTATTTAAATGTATAGGTATTTAAAACATTTATGAATAAACACATTGATAAAACATAATTTTTATGGTCATCACATCAGTAGATTCCGATTTAGGTCTAATTACACACTTACATAATTAATTATATATCTATGCATTTTACTATAAATGTTCTTATTCTTATAATTTTTAAATATAACTTACAAAAATGGCCTTTTTATGATTAATATAAAGATTATAAAGACCAAAAGGAGAAAAATGAAAGTATGCAAAAATACTTACCAAATAAATTGGTTTTCACAGTGATAGATAAATGTGTGTTATTTCTAAGAATTTCCATGGCTTTGGACAGCTGAATATTTTCAAAGTTTTGACCATTTACTTCTAGTATCTAAACATAAAATTATAAAATGAATATCAATATCCCAATTGACTGAAGAAAAAAAGAGAGAAATAGTCACCCTTGAAATCGGGATTTAGAAATATCATACCTGATCCCCTCGCTTCAAGCCGGCTTCAGTTGCTTTGCTGCCTGAATCGACACTGTCCACAAAGATCCCAAATCCCTTCTCTGAGCCTCCCAGTAAGATAAAAGGCAGAGGAGCTTCTCGGGATGGTTTTGTTAATGTCATCAGTCTCCTTTTTGCTTTAGCTGCACATGCAATATTTAACAGCCTTAGATGTCCACCCATTTTCTGTAAGAGTTCAGAGAGAGTGGTTTCACAGGCAGGCTGAATAAGATGAACTTAAAGCTGATGGTTTTTAAAATAATCACAACTATTACCTCTCTTTCCAGATTATTTTCAAATTCTTCTAGAAATCGAGTCATCGCAGGATCTCCTTCAAAGTCATTGAAGTGATTATTTACCCACAATAATACTACCCGTGTAACCTGAAAAATTAATTGTTTTCAGTAGGTTTTCTAAAAATTCAGTGCTAAAAGTTTGCAATTAAAGCGATTTCAAATTAGACATCCAAACAACCTAGTAACAGCGAATAAGAAAATAAACTAAATACAAAAGGCCTTAGCAATGATTTTATTCATAAGGAAATGACCTAAAAATTTATACTCTGAATATTGATTCTAGATTGTTTTGCCAAGAAGGGTCTTGAATCTGTGAAGCTTACTTACTCTCAAAATATATTGCAACAGATTACCATAAAAACAAAGCTATAGTAAAACCAAAATAAATGAATACAGGATAAAGAAGACAGAACTTAAAAAAAAAAATAAAGGTAGAGGGCAGAACAGACACAAGGAATTAACAGTATTAAGCCTAGAAAGATCTACAAGGGAACAAGTTATAAAAGGAAAAAACTAGCTGGGAGTTACAGGGAGTTACAAATTACTTGTTAACATTAAGATTCAGAAACCTCTTAACACCCGTAATTCTCAGGAAAAATGAATAGCCTTTTCTCACCCTACACATGTGTCTTCACACAGCCCAGCAATTTGATATAGGCCAATATATACACTCTCAGTTATGGATTTTTTTTTTGTACCCAGCAAGAACTATGCAACATTCATTAGACTATAAGTTCCATGAGTACAACTTTATGTTATGTTCTAAGGGCATCCTTAATACTTATAACAATGCTTGGCATAAAGTAAATTCTCATTAAAATATTACTAAATGAAGTAAGTATAATTGCAACTTAAATATAAAACTACTTGTTTTCTCTTATATGAGTTTCATTTTCTGAATTTGAATAACAAGATAAAATAAATTTTCTATAGAATCGTTTTCAAACATTAACTGCTTAAAATGAAAAAATAAAGCACGCTATTCTAGCAGTAAAGAGATGATGTATATAGTTAATTTTTAACCATAGTTTAAAATACTATTTATTGTTAATATACTGTGATAAATTATAGTATAAACCTAATCACTCTTGAGTTAAATCTTGATATTTACATTAATTTTATGTCATTTACCATCACTATTGCACAATTCTTCAAATGTAGGAAACATTAAGATGATTCCCCTTAAAACGATATCTAACTCTTGACTTTTTTATAAAATTAAAATTTTGCAGCTGAGAAGCCAAGTTGAAAGTCCACTAGCCATATTACATACTAGAAAACGAGATTCATAAATCATAAATTGAAAACTACCACCAACAGCAAGCAACCTTTAGGATGTGCTGGCTCTACGCGAGGTACTACATATAGAACTTTATTTTCTATTATTCATTTTCACAACAGTCCCAAACAGATGTTGATTATTCATTTTACAAGTAAATATATGAGTATCAGGAGGGTGAGATGGCATATAAAGTAAATGACAGAGGCAATACCACTCAAATCAAGTTTTTACGGCTGAAGAGCCTGGTTGAGATTTAGGCCTGTGACTCTCAGAATATGAACTGAAAAGCAATACTGTCCAAATGATTTCCCTAGGACCACACAGCTAGTTAGTGGCAGGACCAGCACTAGAGCTTGAGCTTTTCTCCTGTTCTGGATTTCCCCCCCCTCCTCCCCCCTCCCCCCCAGTCTGTCTCATGTAAATCAGACTGCACATGGAAAGAAGTACAGACTATGATTAACTCTCAAACTTCATAAGAGTATGTAGTTTACCATCCAATCTAGCCTTGACACGGCTTGCAAGAGATGCTGAAAAGGGTCTGTTTAGAATTCTATTACTGGGACCTACCAGCCAGCAATGGTTGTCATGCAGTGCTGCTATGGTGCCAATTTAAAAACTAACTTTTCTTTTATCTGGTGTACATTGGCCCTCTACCTGGATGATACAGATTCCTGTGGAACCCAGACGGTTGGGGGTTGTGTTTCAAACACATTCCCAAAAGAACTAAAATTTAAACATTTGTCAATAATTCACTAACATTTGCATAAAAAAGAGATAATTTTAGGACTGAACCTAGCAACCTATAACAAGAACTAACATTTGTATCACTTTTGCTTAAAAAGTACACTCTTATTCCATTAAAATAATCTGAACGTAATTGGCATGACAAATATATTAAAGTATACTTGTTTATATATGAATATTTCAAATTTAAAAGCCAAACTAGAATATATTTTCCAACCTTATCCCTGAGGCTCGGGTCATTAAACCACTCCAATAACTTCTTGCCCACTTCCATTGGGCTGGAAAGAAAAGTCCTGTAGGTCAATAGGAAGTCTTCTATGAACGTTGGATCCACCACCGAATGCTCTTCCACCAAATGCATTGTTAATCTTTCTGAGGTGCCCTGTAGCAAACAGAAGGTTTAATCACTATTCTGCAGAAATAGCATCTGAAATGTTCAAATCTTCAATATAAGACAAAGTGGGTAGTGAATATATATAATTAATAAAACTGCTGTTCATCAGGAAATATAAAGACTCTTTACAACTGGTAACTTTTAAGAAAAACTATGCCTAAAAACGGTCGGGGGACCTGCAGTTGTCCTACCTGATACTGCCAATCAAATAGAACCATATTTGTCTTACCTTGATGACAATGTGTCCCTTTCTTGTTCCAGTTCGATCAAGCTCTCGGTGTTCTTTCACCATAACAATTTCTCCTTCTTCCTCCACTTTTTGCATGTTCTTCTCTACTTGGTTGAGAATACGGCAATAATCTTGCTGGGCTATGCAGACAAACTAGAATAAAATATAAGTCACATGTTAATGATAAAGTGCTTGCAAGAGACTTAGCAGTACTAATAACTCAGTGTTTTAATTATTTAACTCTGACATTTTTCTATGTCTTTCCCATACTTTCTAATGAGTGCAGTAATGAACCTTAATCAGAATTCTCCACTTTTTAATGTAGTTCTTCCTTGCTCAAGAAAAGTTTCATTTTTTAGAATATTTATGTGCAGTTTATATTAAAAACACTAACAATTTTTAAAAATCAGATGGTAAAATTAGGAGTCCTTTCTCATGCTTCTTCTTTGACAATTAAAAAAACATTAGTGGAGGGGAGTGGAATCTTAAGAGGATAGACATAAAAACAATCACCATTTACTGGGTTTTAAAAGTTTGAAAAAATTTTAAAAGCAGGATTTTAAAATAAAGATGGTTTTAATAAGAAGACACTGAAATTCCATACATGGATATGTGGAATAGTTATTAAAAATTTGCTAATTATATTAATAAATCATTTTAAAAAGTCTATTTTTAAAAAAAGGTCCACAAAACAAGCCATATACTTCTAAGCTCAAATCATTATTCCTTGTAACAGGTGTTAAGGGTGATCCTTGCTCTTAAAGAAAAAGTTAGCAATACACACCAAACCATTACTCCTCCATGACCCCTAACACACACACACACACACACACATAAAATGTCAGGGCTTAGGGCAAAGCACTTAATTACATTTCTTTGCAGTTTTAAGAAAAGTTAAGAACGAATTATAGAAATCACTTATTACACAAATTAACCAAGGCCACTGTTGCATCTGAATTTTTGAAGGATTTATTCTTATTTAAGAAATCATTTTGGGATAAAAAAGCATGAACATTTCTTTTTCTCTTTTAATGTGAAAAGGTGAAAAAAAGGGGATGGTTAAATTATAGCATACATAAGATAAAATATGAAAGCCATCCAAAATCATATTTTCATAGGTCATTTAGAGTTCTGGCTTAATGTTCATGATACTACATTAAATATTTTTAGGGTGGAAAACCAAATACTGTAATATTTATAATGACATCCTCCTTCTCAGTATTTTGCAGTAACCATACAGGACTTTCTCAATTTATCCTCCAAATCATCCCATTAAGAAGGCACTACTATTATCCCAGTTGTACACATGAGGACACAACTGTAGCATCAGCTGCTAATTTACCCAAAGTCTCATAATTATATGCTTGCCAATTAAAAACAAATTGTATATGCATATCAAGATCTTAGAAGGAAATATAACAAAATGTTAATTATTTCTAAGCAATCCTATATAATAAAGAGGTAATATGCAAATGGTTGTTATGCCGTGATGTGTAACGACCGATCAGCAGGAGGGTGGGGCATGGGGCTACCTGCGCAGAAAGCTATGAGCAACGGTGGGCAGGATGGCCAGCTGAGGCAAGCCGCAGTGAGCTACTAGTGCAAATTATAACTGACTTTCATTTTTCAATATACTTTTCTATATTCCCCTCCCCTCCCTTTTTTTAACAGAAGTTGCAGGAGCAGTTCACACTTGAGAAGTACTGTGTTATAAAACTGTTTCTTCCACTGAGTTGGATGATATCACTAATTTTTGTATTAAGACTTCAGAATCAAAAGTTAATATTCAAAACATATAATTACTTTCCTTGTAAGTTACTATACATAGTTTAATTCATTTTTAAAAATTCCTTAAAAACAAACCCATTTCCATTACACTAACCCCATATATAGCGCTTAACCTTTTTGTCTCAAAAATATTTTTATTTTTTAAAACTTTTACAGAGAAGAAAAATTGTTTCCCCTATCTCCAAATAACCTTAGGTGTCATTTCTTATACTTAGTTTAGAGAACACAATTGTATCATTTTCTCATTCATCTCCTAAAAATGAAATATATTACTGAGTTAAAATGACTAAGTAGGCAGAAAAAAAAATGTATTTTAAAGAGAAATCTACTAAAATTAATCTTCAAGACTAAGAATTTAAGAAAATTAAAATAAGTTTGATTTAAAATTCTCAATGTCTAGACAGATAGTTTGGGCATTTTTTTTTTGAGATATAAATGACATTCTCCAGTTTATTCCATATGCTTTTATCTGCAACTATCAGAATATGTGATTCAAACTTATGCATAAGGATTCACATCTGCACTAAATCCAAAGCTAAGGGTAGGCTTAGCACTGACTGAGTCAATGAACCAAATATATTATGAAGGACTCAGGCTCTTTTGGTCTCTCGATACGAACATTCAGTTTGGACTTCAATCTAAAGCAAGTTCCTCCTGGCTCTAGGAAGCATGGCAGTGACAACTAAGCTTCAAGCTTCCTCATTCACATGCAGGAGAGTGAGAGAGAGCATTGCTTCTAGTTTGGGCATTTCTTCAGCAAACTAAAATGCCATAAAAAAGAAAAATCCCAAACTGAATTTCTAATATGGCCATACAGAGCTGATATCTAAAAAGAAATTTAAGATGAAAACATTTAGCTACATTTTTATTAGCAGATTTATTTTTGCTTTAAGAAGTTTATAGATATAGTGAAAAATTAATAGGTAAAATAGAATTTTAACTGGTAAATTCAATTTGTGAATTGTTTTGGTGAGGTTTATACTTTCAGACAGCTGTTGACACATAAAAAGCATGCATTATGATCTTGGCACTATCTCTCTCTCTCTCTCTCTCTCTCTCTCTTTTCTTTTTTTTTGCACTATCTCTTTTTTTAAAGAAA